AACCCACACAAACTGGATTCCTAACAGTCATTTAATGGAATCCTCATGTCTATTCGCTTCTAGCTATTTCAAAGAGGGTAGGGAATCACCTAACTAAAGGTTATTGGTTCCCGATTAAGCAAATCATTTAAGAAAAGATTATTTAGCCAAAATATGTTTTATCCACCCCATTGTGAATTGGTCTGAAAACCTTCCAATTCCTTTAAATTAGTGAAAAGCTCATTTGATCATATCTCAAATTCTTCCAGATAAACTTTGGTTTTCAAACATAAAATCCATCTTAAACTGTAATATGTGTTTCAACCATGTTTTCCATTCCTCTTTGTACATAGTAGTTTAGTTTAGTTTATTTTCACTACTTTTAGACTAGAGTTTTAAACTGAAATATGTTTGACTTGGAGCTGAATGATTTTTGTTATTTTGAACAGAAGTTGTGGTGAATTTATTCCATGTATGTGCAGAATTAATAACAATGATAAAACATGCTGATAATATATCAATTGAATACTGTCATAATTCTGGTTCTTTGGGACATTTGTCAGGCAGGAGTTGTCATGAGATGCAGATCAATTAATCAGAAGCAATTTCTCACAATGCTAGAAAAAAACCAAAACGTATTTTTAGTTTTTACTATTTTCTTAAGAGTTAAAAAAATACGTATGCATTACTGCTGCATACTTGCATCAGTAAGGGCCATATCACCCATACCTGTATTATTCTGAGGGACCAACAGGCATGGAGATGGGATATCAGAGCAGAGACTTGAACATGAGCACTCTTCATCATCCTCCTCCTTCTCATGACGAGTGATAGGTGTGGGCTGAGAGGCTGGTGGGAGGGAAGGGGGTCTTGTTTGGGAAAGTGTCGGAGCCTTTATTGTAAAGGAAGATTCAGGATGAGCCAGGCCACCCCAAGGCGTTACGTTGGTGTCTGGAAGGAGGATAGATGAAGGTCCTGGGTAACGTTGAGAGGAAGCCTGGGGCTGCTGGGTGAGTTTCCTGCGATTAGTCTGCTGTTGATGCTGGAGAGCAGTGGAACTAAAGGGAGGTTTGCCTGTATGTTTGCATGAAAAAAGACAAAGAAAGGCACACGTTTAGGAAACATCCTGAAGCAGCTAAAATGGATGTTCTAATGGACCCCAATCTAATTAACGGGTCAGCTGTTTCTCTCTATTAAATTTCCGGTAGTCTCACTAAACCACTGTTTGAATATATTCTCTTTTTATTTTGGTAGGTTTTTAGATCTCTGTGAGATTCTGGGGTATTGTTTAATAACCTAACCCTGCTGAAAAACAAGTGGTGTGTTGCATTAATTTCCACATCTTTATCCCTGTCTTGTCTGCTTGTTTCTTTCACAAAATAGCTATACTTAGATTTAGATGTAATGACAGAAAGATTGGCTATATTTACTAATAAGGAGTCCCCTGAAGTTTGGAAGTTATTGAGGGATTTTTACAGTAAACAGAGTTAAATACAAATCTTGCCTTTTGATTTTAACTCCAGATATATATATATATATATATATTTTTCCTGCTACTTTAGGATGGTGTGTTACATTAATCCAAATGAAACGTGTTAAAAGTTTATAGTTTATGGTGACAAACATGTATTTGCAAGGCCTGTAGGTTAATTTATTATTTTTGTGTTTTTGCTTGTATTTACATTGGCTTCAAAGATTTCTTGCTAAAATATTATTATTAGAAATTACAAAGTTGTAAAAAGGCCAAAAGACTAAAGCAACCAAACAAAACCATTAATCACCCCCAATTAATTAGTAATTAACTTTCACTTTTAAGTCTTTTTATATTTAGAAACAAAAAATCATTTTTGCTTAAATGTATGTAACTCCTTTAAAATATTAAAAGAATTACATAAATTCATCCAATTTCACTGCTCTTATAAGCCTCCTTTTAAACCATTAGAAGCACAGAGATCCTGGGCTGTGTTGCAGTTTCACCTGTTTTTCTCCCAGTTGAACTAATGTAAGGCAGTCGTTTCCGAGGCATCACAAATCTGGAAGGCAGATGGCAAATATCAGCATCACTTTTCAAACTCCAGTTTTTCTGAAAACATGTTTTGAATTTTAAGAAACAGAACTGAAATACATATTTAGCAGGGACCAAAACACAACTATCCATGTTTAAAGTGTATCTCTAGAAAAAACTGACGTCTTTACTAAATGGAAAAAGGCTTCAGTTGTTTCATCAGATACAAACTGTTCGATAAAATTAAATGTGAAAAAAAAAAACATAGAAATGTGTGAGGGATGAGAATCATTTTCACAGCACTGCTCTTAATGACCCGATGCATTCGTGCATCATCAGGTTACAGCTTTACTTACAAGCATGAAAATTTTTTTATGAATCCCTTATTTCAATCAATCTTTTCTGGATGGCATTTAAAGTTTACAGCCACCACCCTTGACATTTAATTGATTCTGATATGTTAGCACATGATGCCTTTCAAAGCCTGGCTCCAGTCGACGGGCTGCAGATGCAGAATTTATTTTTAGAAACGAGAGATAAAAAAAAAAGAAAGAAACAAAAACAGCCATTAATTTGCCACCCTAAAAAGGCAGAAAAGTAGAGAAACAGTTTTTTTGTTTTTTTTTACCATATATAGAAAGTGGACATTTCTAAAGGAACACTCGAATAAGGTAAAGTGGATGACAGCGATAGCAGAGTGTAATGTGTGTGTGTGTACCTTTCACTGATGCAAAATGTCTTTCTCCCCTTTGACAGCTGCGCTCTTATGTCTTGCTCTCACGGGTGATGCAAAACATCCTTCACAGGAACAGTTTCCCTACTGGCACTTCATCACTACAGATGGTGATGATTTTTCAGGCTCTATTCCATAAGTTATTTCTTCTCTCCACACATGTTGGAAGACTGAAAAAGGGCCACACAAGACAGCCTTCTTCTAAGCCCTAAAATAAAAAACAAACACAAACCCAGGCTCTGGTGAGAATCCTCTTCTGCATTGAGTTGCACAATTCCTTCTTCCTAATGTTCTTCATTTCCTCTTTTTGATGCAATTTCTCAAAAAGAACTGGGACGTTCAGTGCAGCAGGAGACTCCTCTACCTCCCTCCCAACTTCATGTTTACGGTTTTAGCTCTCCACCTCCTTGCTCTTCTCTCATCTGTACTTTACTTCATAAATGACAGAGAAGATAACAAAGGGAACTAAAGGAAATAGGATCCATGAAGCTTTCATCACCTTTCTCATCATATCCCTCCTCTTCTAGAACTACTTGGCCCCATTTCCTCTGTCACTCAATCTTCCCCCACCTTCTGGTTCTATTTCTTTCTCCTCTTTCATTCATTCAGAGTGCAGATTAGTGAGATGGGCATGAGACAAAAAGTAATTTGAGATTAGAATAAAATATTGATATATTCATGGATACCAGCAGTCTGCCTGCTCTAACCTCTACAAAGACCTCCATCCATGATGATAAAATGCAATTCCAATGGGGAAGAAACGTAAACAAACATATTCAAGGGTATACACCAACTTTTTTTTATTATTGTTATTGTCTTTAGGTACGAATCTCTCAACTCTCACCTTGCATGTCTAAAATATAGGAAATAAATGAAAAAGGTTGAAAGAAAAAAAAACATGACAGTTGAGAAAAAAATCTAAAGTTTAAAAAGGTAGATCACGTTGTGTTTGAAAATCTAGACATTAACGTGTAACAGAATGTCAATGCAATACAAAGGAAGTGAAGCAAAGTCCTTTGTGTCAACCTTAGTTCATAAAGTGAAGCTTTAAAGGACAACAAATGAGGAGAAAGTCATGATGGAAGTGGTCTGAAAGCAATAGCTAAGAGATTTAATAAACCAGCACCCTAAGTAGGGATTTAAAAGCATGCATTCAGAGCACCAGCCTGCCTGCAATTTAACAAATTGTGACAAGAACTTTAAATTGATATATGCCATTCAGGTAAATGTGGTTGCTGCTCCATCTTCGACTGTCATTGCTCAACTGGTGTACACACACACACACATTTCACCATAATTGCTGAATATATAATATTATAAAGCCATAAAACAATGTTTAATACTCTGCTTTTCACAAAGTAAATCTATGTTACTACATTAATAGAAATGAATCCCACTTAATCTCCATTAAACCTTCTGGAGATGATTTTTTTCAGAACAAAAGGCATATAAAAAAAAAAATTCACCTTTAACTAATGTTACATGTGTGATGAATGGAAGAGTTTACACCTGCAGTCAAACACTGTGATGTTTATTGGGTTTAAGCATACTAAAATAAACTGCACCACTCCACTCTGCTGCCTAAATGTGCTTTGATTTAAACCATTCCTTTGTAGCTCTGCTGCATGTTAATGGTTATTCCACTGGAAGCTGAACCTTCATACAAATTCTGGAGGAAGTTGAGGTGTTGAGTCCTAAAACACTTTATTCTGCAGATAAGGCTGTTTCTAAACAACTGAATGGTTCATTCAGAGATCCTATCCAAATTAAAGCAGAGGATACCCAGTGCTACCTGTCTGCGGAGCTCTGCTGCTCTGAAATCCCCTAAAGCACATTTAAAACAAATTACTAATACAAAGATTAAGTTTCTGATGTGTTTTCTCACTTAGCATCTGAAGGCATGGAGCTCTGCCACTCTAAAAACTCAGAAAGCCTATTTCAAAGTAGCCTTAAACTGAAAAAATAAAAGATTAATTCTTTATGTCTATTTTCTCACATAATGCATCTTCAAAAATTATATTTGTCACAAAATAAAAGGTATAAAAACATTAATCATGGAATAAAAGCTCACATGGAATAAAAACTAATTATACTTCTAACCAACAGGATTTCCTGTGTCCCCTTTTAAAGAATTATGTCCCAACCACGAAGTCCCACTACTGTTCTCACACGGTCATGAAGAATAATGTCAAATTGCTATCAGACTTTCAATACATTCAGTTCATTTCTATAGGACCAATTCACATCATGTCATATCTCTCTACAGAGAAAATGAAATCAAGTCAGACAGTAACTTTTAAGTTTCCTCATGCTTATATGCACCATCTAAATTTCAGGGTTTCGACATGTAGCATAATGAACCTGAACAAGGTTCAAACACATCATGTACTGTAATGCAGCAACTTTTACATTCTATAGGGGATGCTAAACTACACAATATATGCAAACTACAAAGCAGGATTTTTACACGCTGCTTTATTTACAAATAAATATAGTAAACTTTTCTGCAATCCACTTCTAAATAAATGCTGCAATTCTGACCTTAAACTAGAAAGTTGAATTTATTGACGCCACTAGTTACCAGCTTTTGTGATTTCATATCAAGAGGAATCATTTTTGAGTGAAAGAGTGAGACAATTGCATAGCTTGGTTGAACATTTTAGATTTATTAATAAAGTACATAAGAGAGCTTATGTTCCAGACTTACTCTTCCCAGATTTTTGAACACCCTGAATATTAAGTACAGGCGACATCCGTTTTGTTTAAGTTGACTAAAGATATAATCACAGAAGTGGTATAAGGAATAGCGGACCTCACTATCTGAGGAATTCTACTGGTGGGTCCAGCTTTATTCTAAAATTGAAGCATGTTTTAATGAGAAACAAATGCTTTGCCTGGTAATTAAAGCAAAAGGACCATTTGGTCTCCAAGCAAATCTAATCTTGCAGGCAAATTAAAAACTGTTCAGGGTTAAGCAGCAAAAAAAAAAAAAGAAATAAGAACAGTTTAGTTATATTAAACCATTACTGTTGTACTGATGTTATTCAAATTCAAAACGAAATAAAAATTGATAAAACTCCTGGATTTTAAAACATAAAAAAACAGGGTTTGCCTCATTGAAGCGGATATGGGCTTCATTAGTTAGATGAGGTTCTCTTGAGGTAGAAAACCTTTAACCATTGCAAGGATTTGTTTCCACAAACAGGCAAGTGTAAAATACAGAAGGGCTCAATGCCTGCACTCTGATGCATCCATCACAACTCACTCGAAAGCAAATGTAAAGGGAGCTTGGTTACAGTTATATGGTATACAGTTAATTATGAGCCGTAACCTTCAGTCATATGGATCAGAGGTATGTCTTCTTAAGCTTGGTCTCAGTAAAAAGGTTCTGGGGTATCAATATCATAGAGCCGATTGAATTGTCTTGACTTGAAAATCACAAGTTTTTAAACTGTATTTTTATCTGGGTGTGGGCATTTTAAGGATAATCAACTTAATTGGTCATTAAAACAATCACTTGTCCTCTGTATTTACAGTAACCTATCCCTTAGGGTGTGATGAGCAGCTTGCAGAACCCAGGGAACATCATTTAGATAAGGGTCTTACCAGAACCGCTTTCCATGTCAAATGAGCTAATAGATCCTTCGGAAGGCTGCCAGAAGCTGGTTCCTGGTTTTTAATCATATTAACAGCAGGATTTTACGTATTATTATAGAATGTTGTAATAAAGAAGGAAATAAACAGTTATTAGAGTCCAGTGTTCATTAAAAACAGGATGCATTGTGTTTAATGTAGAAACACCCATTGGGAGAAGAATGTGTTGATAAATACTTTTTGCAAAGATTTGCTAGTTTGCATAATCAGACATTTAATGTCATTTGGGGTCCAATTATTTTCATTTCCTTTCATATCCTTTATTTTTCTTATTCATGAAAAAAAAAAGTTTGTTACAGAAAATAGAAATGCATAAGAAATGTTGAAAACAGATCATCTTTATTTAAAGCCACTTCGATTCATGAAGCAGCAATCAATACAAATATCAAGTCTTTATAAAAAATAAATTATGGACCATTCTGATGCTCTGATCGCTTTTATGCTTATTTCTGAAAAGTCACTCTAACTCTTTCATTTTCTTTCTCTCTCTTGTTTTTCCAAATCTCTGTATCCATCCCAGCGTTCCCGAGTCGCAGAAGCTGGAAGCCTTGGCCACAGACCAGAATCCATCCCACCTTCATTTTCTTCTCACTGCACTCGCAGAAACCTGTGATAGTGTCACCATCCTGCAGCGGATTACTTGGATCATCAGTCTCTTCCTCTTTCAGATAACTTGTCTTTAAAACTGGGCCGACCATTTCTTTCCCAACTGTATTTACCTGCTTGGTCTCAAACCCTATTTTCTCCTCCCCTTCCTCCTCCCAAACTGCAAGTGCTGCAGCATCTGCAACGTGGGAGCACAGTGCCCCACTGTGGCTGATGTCGGTACCACTGACCCTCCAAAGGCAAACCCTCTGATCAGAGGAGGTGGAAACCAGGAGGCCAGGGCTCAGGAGCTTTAGGGCTGTAAGAGAGGCAGCATGGGCAAACGGGAAGCTGTGCTGGGAGAGAAGATGAAGCTGAAGCTGGTTGGGAAACTGATCATGTGTTTCCAGGGAAGTTTTACTCCTACAAATCTGAATAAGTCCCCCATCGTCCCCAACCTTCCCGTTCTCTGGGTACTGCACCCTCACTGTGGACACTGTCAGCTGCCCATCATCTCCTCCACTGGCAACAGTTACCAGGCAACCATCCTCTTGTCCCATTTTCTCTACCCAAACAGCCAATGAGTTGACGCCGCTCTGGTGGGCGGGAATGACAAGGCAGGGGACTGGTGGGGCTGTAGCACCACTTGAATTATCGGCCGATATGAGCAGACTTTCAGTTAAATGCCACACTGCAATTCTCCCATCTGTAGCTGTGCTGAACAGCAGTTTGAACCTGCGGGAGAAGCAAAGACATCCATGCATTACTGCTAAAAAAAACAACCTGATATCAACCAGAACTTTGTACAAATATTTTCAGGTTAAAGAAAAATCATAAAACTGCCATTTGCTTTTTTAAATTATATGATTTATTTTTATCATTGCAAGCACAAATTGAAGTTTTTTTTTTCGTTTTGTTTTTTATCCAACTGACTTAGATAGGAATTAGAATTAGCTGCAACTTTCCCCTGACATTTAAACCAACAACAACACAACAATCATCTAAAACAACATTGGCTGCATATTTATTGTTTTTTTTTGTTTTTTTATGCCTAACTGATAAATGTATTTAATCACAGAGACACACATAAAAACAACCGTGGACCTAACATTCATGGTTTTGGACTGTGGGTGGAGTTCAGGCATGGATGGATCACATGCACATGAACATGCAAACTTAGTCTAATTTTTAACCTAATTATTTCTTTCTGTAGGGAAACAATGGATCCATCGGGAAGCCCTAAATTGTTATGGTCAAACTAAATTGGTTTAAATGCATAAGCCAATTATCTGAGCATAGTTGAAAGGTTTTATTAAGGGTTATTAAGGGTTTGGTGCATTTTGAAAACTCTATGGTGGCTTTCTATATCTAAACCATGTGTGTTTTGGATTACCCTCATCATTATTCTACATCTGTTGTAAAATGCATTGCTACCACAGGAAATAAAACAGACCTCCAGAATAATGCTGCCATTACTTGGTTTACATTTGGTACATGTTTTATTTTTTAATACCTCTAGCTTGTAATTATGATCAGCAGCTCAATAGTTTGGGTTTTGTAATACATTCAACTGCAAACCTATATTGAAAGAGTTAGTTTTGTTTTTAGCCCCTCTCTATTTCTGTCAATGTTTAGCTGAATTAAAGTAGGACTGTGGCACCAGCCTTCCATCATATTCCACTTTATAATCAGCTCGGTTTTTGAGATTGTTCCCAAAGAAGCTAAATCATTTTGTTAATAAAAGGTGAAAGTTTGGCTCAGATGGTTGAAACTATAATAAACTAATTAATTCAACAGAAAATCCACCCAAAACACACAAAGAACTGCTTTTTATTTAACAGGCCAAGTTCAATCTTTGTGATTTTGCTCAGATATGATGACACTAAAGAATTAATCTGGGTTTAGGTTTTAATCAACTCTCCAAGTTCTATCAGGAGCTGTCGACAAATATCAAGCCAGAAATGTGTCTCTATATGAAGCTTGTGGACGACCAGTGACTAAGGTGAAAACTGCGAATTATCTCTCTATATTTTAGCCTAATTATATAATAAATATATTTATAATCTAAACTGAGGTGTCAAAGGTATTGTTTATTACTCAAGTAGTAGTATAAATCCTACTGTTTAAAAACACTATTGTAGAAGTTAGAGAATCAACTTAAGCTTCTTTATTAAAGTAAATGAGTAAAGGCACCATTTAAAAAAAATACTTAAAGTATAAAAGTAATGCAGCAAAATGTTAGGGAGAGATGCTTAAAACCTTATACTGATTACTGAACTACCCTATTAAACTAAAATGTTTCTACAATTCCTGGTGATAACTTCCCTATAGTTTATTTTCTTAGTTTTATAACTAATGGTAACAGCGTCAATTTTAATTTTACATTTATTGTTTATTTACTGTTTATTTTCACATTTGGCTAACAAAAAGTTGGTGCATCACCGAGTTTAACCACAAAGAAAGTAATTATGTGGATGAAACAAATTATTTTGATGGTTTTTATTTTTTAAAAGCAACAGGCCATAATGAAAAGGAACTTAAAGGAAACAAAAATAACAAGCAATAATAAGTCTTTTTTTAAATGTAAGGAGTAGAAAGTAGAGATAATTGCTAAAAAAATTTGAGTAGTAAAAGTAAATAATTGTCTAAAAAATAATCACTCCAGTAAAGTATAGATAGCCAAAGTTTCTAATTAATATAATTAAATATTTGTACTTTGTTACTTGATAACTCTGATTTTCAACCTCATGAATGAAAAAACCCACAAGAGATCTAAACACATTTATCTAACTTTATTTGTTTTTGTAATCCTTCCCGACTCAAGGAAATAACTGTTGACATAAATAACAGATATTTAAAGTAGGTAATAGGAAATGTATGAGTTATCAGGGTATGTCTTACCAGCTCTGCAAGACTAATAAAAAACAATTCTAGCTCTGCATGAACCTAAAGGTCTGAACACAGATAATCTCACCTGTTTCCTTTGCCATCCTGCAGGCTGCAGCTGGCGACGCAGAGAACACAGCGCTGGTGGTAAAACGTCTCCCACAACATGTCAATTTGACCTTTAGCTTCATTGAGAGAAAACAACCTGGAGAGACAGTGACAAAAATAAAAGCATAAAATAAGTTAAATAAAAAGGACAGATCTATGGCTCTGGGTGAGTTTGGTAACATTAAAAAGATATCTAGGATTATTCTTATTCTCCTCTATTGCCTGGTTCTGCTGGAGGTTTCTTCCTGTTAAAAGGGGTTTTTTTCTCTCCACTGTCGCTACAAGCATGCTTAGTGTGTGAGGGATTACATCTGAGTCAATGCGTCGATGCAATCAACTGGTTTTCCTTAGATAGAAAACTTTGATTCAATTTGACTGTATGATCTGGTGAACTGTAAAGTACCTCGAGATGACATGTGTGGTGAATTGGCGCAATATAAATAAACTGAATTGAATTGACAGTGGCAGCTGCCTAATCAGGTTAGGCTAACATTCAGAGCCCTTCGCTGGCCTATTTTTTTTTTTTATCTAAAACCTCTTCTAATGACATTTATCTTGGTTTTCCACCAAAATCAGAAAAGCAACCTTATATCGCACAAAAACGAGTCAAGGCCCTACGATAAATTGTGACCATTTCATCATCATCAATATTCAGCACCAGTGTTAAGGGTTTAAGAAGTTAACCTTTGAAAGCTGCTAAGATTTTGCACGCCATCTTTAGTAAAATTTAAAATCCTTTGTAAAGACAGCCTAGAAGGCGAGGGCAGAGGAGCGACCTCTGCAACATCTTCTTTCTATCAGTAAGAGGAATCCAACTAGAAAGAAAGGTCTTAAATATAAATATCATTAAAGTAACGCTGTTTTAAAGTCTAAGCTGTGAAACTCATGCTGTGTCTGTTAAAGTAGCAGTTTAAACTTCTACCTAGACAGACACGTGTGACTGTGGAAAGAGGAAAGTGGTTAGAAGGTAAATAGAAAAATAATCATCTTTATCTAAAGGCTACTCAGCATTTTAACCTGTATTTTTTATCTTGTGTGTCAAAAGAAAGTTTGAGTTTTTAGTTAATGTTGGAATACTGTGACCAACCTGCTGGGGCCTTTCTAATTTAATTCATAAAAGAATAAAGCATCTAAAAGCCTTAAAAAGTTCCTTAATATGTAGTGGGACTAACCTGAGAGCCCCATCGCTACTGGACACAGCCGCGAGGATGCACCCCATCTTTTCCTCCAGGACCTCTATGGACATGTACCTGGAAACACCCAAAGCCAGCAGGTGAAACTTTATCCAGAACATTGGATCTTCAAACGCAATCCATTCCTTTTCTGTTATGCAGCTTTTTTTAATTCCAGAATTAGTAATCTATTCAGTGGTGTTCCTAAGGAGTGACTGAGCTCTACAGGCTGAATAGATCCACTGCCTGACCAATCAGAGAGCGATTCTTCGTGAGGCAGTGGGGGAGCAGAAGAGTGGCTGAAGAGAACTGTAAGGAGGAATTGATTGTTGATAGTTTGTTTGGACATGTCTGCATACAGGCCTGACAAAATAAGCCTCCAGTTGGTTTATTTCTCTTTTAGCACCATTTTAATGTTTGGCTTGTTTACTCACCCAATCTGCTTGACATATTGCTGCAAATTTGCTATAATATAGTGTTGCAGCTTCGCCATCTCTGGACAAGTGCCCCATGATATTAGGAAAAACATGTAACAGAAATAACCCTACTGAGTATTTTAATGATAAAACATGATTTATTCGTATTTTCCAGAATTTCAATTTTCCTACCATTTCCAGACTTTAACATCTTAGTCACCAAACAAATCCTGGGCCTGGTCTACTAAGACCCCAAATAAGGAGCAATAAACTGCCAAACAACACAACAGGGTGTGGAATGTATAGGTTTCAGGTGATCTAAAGAGACTATTAACAGGAGCAAATATGGTGGTGACCACCATGTTTAAATGAGGATTATACCTGTTAGCGGCATTACCATGGGAAGTTTGGGAAAGCAGAGGGAATTTATTTTGCATGTCCCAAAGGAAGTTATGGTTTGCAACACAGGCAGAAGGTAGACACAGGACAAGACACCTCTTCTGTTTGGGTGAAATGAAAATAATAATAATATCACCTAGACAATGACTTTAAGGTAAAGATAAAGTTAAATAAATAAAAACAAGTAGAGTTTAAAATATAGTGTACTGCATCCAAACAGTCCCTGAGATATAAAAAATAATAATAGGGCCGTTCTTAAACTGCCACTATTTATTTATGCCTGCAGCCATTTACTTTCTTTGCAAAATATCGGAAATGACTTTGATTCTGCTTAATAATTCAAGTTCAACCTTCTGTTACTGTGGGAGGAATTTGGACTTAGGGTTACATATTTTTTTAAATGTTTAAATGTGATAATTTTATCTCGGTTGCTCTCTACTATTTACGGTCATACTTCATAGCTGTATTTCAGTTTTAATGCTTTGAACTGTTTCAACATTTCTAATTAGATTTTTTTCTTTTCCAGAATGATGGTAACCATCAAACTCTTGTTAACTGATAAAATCACACAGAAAACTTTACCTGGCAACAGAAGCAATGCGGCTCTGCTACAAACAGGTTTAAAATAATATTTAGAAGCCAAATCACCAAGAATCGATTCATTTAAACCTCATCCAAACTTGCCTTGATTCGGGGTCCATTTTAACAGTTTTATGGCGGTTCCGCTTTTTCTCCCACTGCAAGTCCAATCGGTGGCTCGCCACCTGAACCACCTGACAGGAAGGAGTCAGCCTCTGTCTGTCCCAGACGACCAGCAGCCGGTTACATTGAATCTGAGCCCGGCCCCCTGCTGACAGCAGCAGGGCGGATAGCGCATTTCCCCGTGGTTGGGTCACTGCCGTCACTGTCCGCACGCCTGAGATGTGGTCGGTAATAACTGAGAGAACCTTGTTGACCCCAGAAACTGGATTTATAGCCAGGACTGCTAAGCTAGTGTCCTCCCCTCCTGTCACTACTATCTCCCAGTACATTTTAGTGTTGATTTTACTTGTTTGAGAGTCATTTCTGATCTCTTCTATCCTTCCCAGCCGGGATACACACCAAATCCCCCTGCCGTGGATCCCCTCTCTTAAGCTCCACCCTCCCGTTCCCCCATCTTTCCCTGCACTGCCAAGCATCTCCCCAGGGTGCTGTGAAGTCAGTACTGCCCCCTGCTTGATGAAGACCAAGGCTCCACATCCAGCCCAAACCCCCGTGTGCGACGGCCAGAGACTCCAGGAGCGATGACCCCCGCCGCAGGGCACCACCATCAGCCTCTCCTGTCTTACAGGGTCCCAAATTACAAAGTGGACTGCATGGAAACCGGCAATGACGAATCTGGCCTCTCTCAGCTCGCTGCCAATGACATTTTTACAATCCTCTCCAAGGTTTTCAGGGATTTCAGACTCCAGGATGAAGACTCTTTCCAGCCACTCCATGCCCCTGCAGGCCCGCTGGACTCGGAGCACCTCCAGATTAAGATCGCTCTCATTCTCTCCAGGCTGGATCCCACTCACCCTAAAAACCCTCACGCAGCCGTCCTTCCCGGTGCTGTAGAACAATCCCCGGTATTCAAACACAGAGGTGACACCATGTTTCCCGTGTACTCCGAACAGACAGCTCAGAGGCTGCAGCGTTGAGTCCTCCATTATTCTATTTTTTCTTCCCATCTGCAAACCTTCATTCACTTCCTCATCATCACTTCTGTTAAACTCAATGTTTTCCTCAAACAAAAGCAGCGACCCTCTCCTGTCTCCACACACCCACAGCACCTTGTTAGAAGAATGCTGGAAGCAGATGGCAGCTGTGAGCCAGCGCTTGGAGCAGAGAGGTAGCAGGAAAGGTGGAAGAGGCACAACGTTGAGAACTAACACACTGTTTTCTTTGGTTTTAACCTCCACATACCAGCGACAGACAAACCCTTCAGCACCAGATGCAAGTAAATACAATTGATCTTTTCCCTTTTTCCAAAAAATACTGTGGATCTTTCCTGGTCTGCCTGTTAGACGCATCCCAGCCAGAGGATCAGAAGTGGAAAACACCTGGATAGAGCCACTGATGTTAGCCACAGCACACAATGTAACTGTGCTGCCGATGTTTGTCACAAAGGTAGTAACTGTTTCCATCACACAGTAGGAATAAAACTCAGACGGACCTTCCCAAAGCGTCGTCCACCTTCCATCTCTGTACTGGCAAACCGCTCCTCTGTCTGTGCAAACCAAACATTGACTCCAGCACATGTTCTGCTCCTCTCCTGCTATAGAAACCACTTTAGGAAGACCAGGACCAGGAAACTTCAAGTCTGTTACTCTGCCTTCTAGACCCTCCTTCTCCTCTTCCACCTTCCACAGCCTCACCCCCCCATCTGCCCCTCCTGTTGCCACCCATGTCTCATCACCCCCTGTTCCCCTGCCGACCGCCAGGGAACGCACCCCTCCTGCACGGTGGCCCTTCAGGGTGCGGATCACCTTCCCTCCTCCAACCACATCCCAGACTAAACAGGCGCCATCCTCCCCGGCGCTGTATGCGTACCCTGCAGAGAGACGGACTGAGAACACCCTGGCCTGGTGGCCGTACAGAACCCTTAAACATATGGGGTTCAAGTCTCCACATTTCCCCCCAGGACCACCTAAGGCACCAACGTCCCAAACCCGAATGCTGCGGTCGTCTGACGCCGAAGCCAGGTATCCTTTCTCCTGGAGGTAAGAGATGCTGAAGATGACGCCGCTGTGACCCAACAGACGGCGCTCAACTGGAGCCTTATGACCACATCCAGCCATGTCATCTCCCCCAGGTTTCCAGATGACAAGCTGCTGGAAAACAGTCCCCCCAACCAATACGGTGTCGCGCCAAGATTCATGCACCAGAAGAAGAGCAGAATACAGCAGACAGCCCTCCAAACAGGAGCACTGCACCAGCGCGTTTCCTGTGGTAGAGTCCAGGAGAAGAACAGCATTATGGGCCACAGCAACACAGAGCAGCGACTGCCTGTCTGCAGGGAGCCAGCGGACATCTAGGGCCCAGTCCTGGAGCTCCAAGAGCGAGCCCACCACCTCCAAGTGGAGAGTCTCCACGTCCTGGAAATCTAAATGAAGCCTGACCAGCCTCACCGCCTTTCCTCCAAACACAGCAAAGTCATAGAACCCGAGTTCAGCAGGTTGGGTTTCCCCTAAAAGCAGAAAAAAGGATCAATATTAAATCAATATCCATACGCTGGATTATTTTTTTTTTAATAATGAAAAAACTTATTTCCAAAAATAGGTTACAAATCAACATTAGATAATTAGAAATTATGAAAAATGTTCTTTAATAACTGCTTTAAAACTAGGCACTCCCAATAATCCTACATATCTGATCACTACATTTTCTAGAACCATAACAACATAATAAACATTTATTCTTGGCACCAAATTCTTCAGTACATCATTTATAAAGTATAGAGAAATTTCCCAGTGGCAAACCCTTTTCCTGCTGTCCGTGGATTATAACGGTAGAGCTCTTGGTCAGAATAGCATCCTGACTCTTTGGTCTGATCCCATGGATTCTGTAATGATGCAGGACGCCCAGTGAAGAGCCGACTTTAGGGCGAGGCTGAAGTCTGTAAACAGATAAGACCGGTCCTTCTCCTGCCAGGAATGAAAACCTTATTCAGGTGTAACAGGGTGAATTACTGTAGATCAGGGGTCTCAAACAAGTTCCAGAAAGGATTTCAGGATTGCAGGTTTTCTTTCCAGCCAAGCAATAGCACAGCAGACTCCAGTCAGCTCATCAACCATTGCTTGGTTGGAAAAAAAACCTGCAGCCACACAGCCCTTTCTAGAACCAGTTTGAAACCCTTGCTGTAAATTAAATACCAACACAAATACTTTGAATCATTTCTGGTCAGTTTTTGTAATCTTGAGATAAAAAAAACAATGAAGTGTAGTAAAAGCTAATCTAAAAAAATGAACAGTGACAGGCTACATTTCGTTATCTGTAGGGGTGAACAAATTGATTGTACTTGATTTCCTTGATCGGCCGATACTTGGATGTGAAACCAAACTTTTCCACAGCTCTTATCTATCCTGCAAATGTCTGAAAATCAATGCTCTAAACTTTTAATCAGATTTCAGAGCATTATTTGCAGAAGTTTCTATAGTTTCACGGGCACCTATTTATGCCTTTCAGTAAGACAAGATTGATATATTCAAGGGGATTGGGATCTTATAACAATTAAACGTGTCGATCAAAATCAGAATCAGCATGTCAGGCATTTTAAAGATCAGGAATCAGTGATCGGCAAGAAACCTTCAATTGTTGCATCCCTAGTTATCGGTTTGGAAAACAGCATTTGTTTTGTTATGTTTAATTAGTTAATTGCCTGACCGTGTTTCTGCGGTAGTGAAAGAAGGATTACCTTATTTAAAGGTTGAGCAGCCTTTTATTGCCCCTATCAGCTGTGCACATCTGTCAGTTATAACAGAACCAGCTTAGTTAGACTAGAAGGAAACCATGTAGGAGTGAAGAATAAATTCAAATCTTGCCACTAATTCTTTGGATTTAGGTCTGAACTTTGACAAGGCCATTTTTATTACGTGTTGTCCTAAAAGAAGGTGAATCTCTAGGACAGTCTCAAGTCTTTTGCCATTATAGAAGAAACTTTCCCAAAGGATTACTTTGTATTTAGCTTAGTCAACCTTCCAATTAACTTTAACCACATTTACAGACCTTACTAAAGGAAAGCAACCCCAAACATTATGCAGCCGCCATGAGGGTTGCGTGTGTACAGGTCAGGATGTGTAGTGTTCATCATTTTTATGAACAACACATAGCATTTGATCTGGCTGTAGCACATTTTACTACATTTCCAGTGTTCTCTACATGTCAAAGTGCTAGAAAAAAATGTATTATGGTTAAAAAAAACTTCCTTTGTTTCTCTTTCAGGGCCCCAAATACCTCTTGGTTTCTTTTATAACTCAAGACTTTTGGCTGTTATGGAATGTATTTGTGGGTATCAAAGTAAAATCAAATGCATGAAACTTTGCAATTAATTTGTATATGTTCATGAAAACTGTGGATCTTTAAATGAGGCTGAGATCGAAACGTGATAAAACAGGTCATGTTGTTCTTTCTTACCTGCCAGTAGAAACCGGTCCTGAAACAACTCCAGTGCTGTGATGGGAGCTACTAGAGCAGCAGTCTCCATCTTTAACTGGTAGTGAGATCAACTTAGCAACCTTCTGAATGCATTCTGTAATAAAACAAAGATACTACTCGCTAATTATATTCTTAAAAATAACAATGTGGATTCGGTGGACGCTAAAAATGACTGATGAGCTCGTTTTGATCAATTAAGACTATATCTAAAAAACCTTACAGTTAGCAAAACAAGCTAAGCTAACAAGCAGGAACACTTCATTTGTATTTAATGCCGCTACAAACGAAAAAAATAGTAACTTTTAAAATGAAACAATAATTCATCCGTACCTCTTATAACCTTAAAACAACTGAGGCATGTCTAGAACATATTTAAGAGCTTCTAATATTTTTACAGCAACTGTACACACATGCATTTCTGCACATTTCTTCCCAGTACTTCCTACGTGACCAGTTTCTGAATGCTGATTGGTTGCAGGAGAAATAAGACATGCTTATTGGTCAAAAGAGAACCTGTGACGGAAAGGGGAATGGTTTGATGCGTTTAAATTTTTTCTGTAAATGTGGGTTGCTTGAGAAAGCCCGTTCACTGAGAAGTGGAGCCTAATTTTATTTATAGCCTAGCTCTCGCGGATGAAAATATGAAGACACAGCTATAAGAAATGATGCAGGTGCCAAACAAAAACATGACATATTAATGTCAAATGAGTGTTACATTTATTAATTAGTACACTTAGTCTCATTTTTCGAAATGTAATGGAATATAATAGCTCATTAAGAAATTATATGTAACTAATAAATTATTTTTGTCAATTATAGCATATCTTAACCGTCTGTCATACTTTTTTGTTTGTTTTTCAACATGAAAATTTGTACCAACTTTTTTTCACAGACGACCCAAACGCATCACAAGGCAAAATAAGGCGAATAGGTCCCTCTCTGTTTAGATAGCATTCCAGCTAACTTTGCAGTAACCATGCCAGGGAAATGTAAATTCCAGGATTCCTGGCTGACGAAGGACGCTTTCAAGGACTGGCTGGTCAAAGATGCCGATGACATCCACTTCGCTCGGTGCAGGGCTTGCTGTAAATCAATCAAACTTCAGACCATGGGCGAGGCTGCGCTCACCAGCCACGCAGGCGGAGCTGGACACAAAGCGGCTGTCCGCAAGCTGCTGGAAGGTTAGGTTAGCTTCCTACAGAAACAGCCCAGCGAGATGCTTAACATTGATGGCCTGGTTTCTATGGAGTCACACGCTGTGTGCATGTTTATTTATTTAATTCTTCATGTTGCCTTGTTTGGCCGTCCATTTGCAAAATCAATGAGCACACATGTTTAAGCAAGGATATGTTAAGTAGTAAATAGTTCGGATGCAGGGGCGTAGACAGAATAAAGGTGGCCAGGCACTAACCAATGAACAATGAGGGGTGGCCAAGAGAGGATAGATACAAGAACCTCAGGGTCAAACCAAAGATAAGATAAACTATTCTTTCCTAGAGCCTTTGCTAACAAATAGATGCATATATTTAAACATCCGTGCTTTCTAAATAAGAGATATAGTGGTTAAATTCTTTCATGTTCGAGTTCTGGGGGCGAACATCTTTTCCACTGTCATTACTTACCTACTTTTATCAATAATAATTCTGCATAAATTTGATATTTACATGTACTAATGTCTACATAAATTGATTATTTAATATGTTTTTAATAAAATAGTTATTTATTTCTGATTTAACTGAAGACTCCTAGATGACTTGCAGAGACACATAGGAAATCTAGTCCTGAAAAGAGCATGAATTCTGTACTTATCATCTTTAATGTTATTATATTGATGTGTGTAGGTTCTTGGTGTCCTTATTGAAGCTTTAGCTTGACGCTCGTCAGACTCCCTTGTATCAAAAACACTCCAGAAATAAATCCATGTGTCCACCTCTTGATTTTAACGATTTACTTGAAAAGTTAACGCAACATTACAGAACACATAAAATATATCCACTAAATTAAGTATTTTAAAGTCCAACGGAGCCTGGGAAGGGCGAGGTCAAAAAACTAATATGCTCCAATCTCCTTCTGATTCCCACAGCACTCGCTCCCCTGGCATAAAGACAAACCACCCCCCTTCGTGGGTTTTTAAATGTCACAATAAAAGTCATATCTTACTCACACAATATCAATGAACTGTACATATGTAAATAGCATTTTTCAATCTTTTTAAATCCCTTTGAATCATTAAATCACAAACAATATTTATCTTACTTATGAATTTGCATATTTTTAAATAAAATAAAAAATAAACATTCTAACTAAAATAAATTACAATTAGGCTCCTACAATGAGTATAATTAACTACAGTGTTTTTGTTGTCAAGTAATTATGAATATTTGGAAAATATAGCAATATATTAAAAATTTAAATGTTTTTAATATTCCACTTGAGAGTATTACTGCTGCCACTATCTGTATTAGACGGGAAAAAATGGTAGGGGTGGCCAATGATTGTTTAAGGGTGGCCATGGTCACCCCTGGCCCCCCATCTAGCTCCACCCCTGTTTGGATGATTGATTTTATGATTATGTTTCATAGCCTATTACAGGGGCAACATTGTCAGTGTGAAGCCAGTGACTAAAAGCTGAATTATTGGATAATATAAATGTAACTAAGGCTATTTTTCTTTCTTTTTTTCTTCTTTTTTTATTTCTCAGAGGATCAGCTTAACATATATTTAGTAATCAATTAGTTCCTGTTTTCCTTTGGACTAAAAATGTGGCGACACAGAGAGCCGTTACTCTTAGTGGCTCCTCAAAATGAGAAAGAGAGGACATTTTATGTAAAAAAAAAAAAAATGCAGTTTTTTTTAAGAAATGGCTTCAAATATCTAGTAAATTTATAAAGGTTAAAGAAAAAATGTATTAAGACAAGGACCTAAGTAGATCCCTTCCAAAAACAAAACAAAAAACACCTACAGTTAAGTATGGTGGAGGATTTGTGAGGCTGTGGGTCCTCTCTTTAAAGGTCCTCTGAACTATGTGAAAAGTTGACTTGTCAGTGTTTGCCAGGATAATGATTAAAAAGCACATTTCTCACATCAAAAATGAACAAATATACATTTTATTAAATAGATATATTTTCCATGGAATTGCTATTGTTGTTAGTGAAACATTTCAGCAAGCATTTTTCATTTTATTGTCATCAATTTAATTGCCTTTCGGTTTTAGTCTGGTAAGAGAACATCTTTAATTACTTAGGACTAAATCTGTCTTGTCTTTTAAGATACTCTAAATTAAGTCTAGAATTGTGTCTTAATGTGCTGTCAATGAAACCTAAATGTGGCTAAACATTTAACTCTAGATTTGGGTTTTCCTACCTCATAATCATAATGCTGGTAAAATTATTTTAGGTTTTCAAATCTTCCATCCTTTACTAAAACGCACCTTAAATTTATTTGAGTTGTGATAATGTTATACCTTCATCTAACAGAAGGTGGCACTCTTTGCTAACATCTACTCTGTCCTTTTTGTCCATTAATGCAGGTAGTTTAGGTGGTGATATAAGGCAGCTGAATGGCAAAATCAATCAGGTAAATATTTCAAATTTTTTTCTTTTCCTGGTTTAGATTAATTTAAAACGTATTGATAACAGATAGGGCCTCAACTAGGGAGTGTTTTGCTAATCGATGAATCTGTCGATTATTCTTTCGATTAATTGATTAATAATCGGATAGCCAAAGGTTCTTAAAGAATAATTTTTATGTAATTAAACCAGGTGAAACTAAAACTTTTCCACTTTAGGAGGCTGGATAGAGTATATTGATTGAAGAAAAATATTTTTTAATCTTAGATGCAAAATGTTCATATATATTTATTTACAATTTTTGTATAATTACTGCGCTAAGTGGGTTGCTCTGTCAGCTAAAGGCATATTTTACAGTCTCTCTACTCGATTTTACGATTAATCTGTTTTTGAATTAGTTGGCGTTTATTTTAATAATCGATTAATCATGATTATTCGATTAATTGTTTCCGCTCTAACAGATTACGAGTTGCTCATATATCCTTGGATTCCTATGGTGGTTTTATTGTCTGTCACCTCCTTTTGTAGATGGAGAAGAGAAAAGATCCAATGGCCCTCAGCATTCAGGGTGAGGCTTTGGACAGAGTCGCAGGAAACGATTGGTCAGATCTCCACCAGAGTCCCACTTCAAACTCCAGCTCCCACAATGCAGAGCTGCAGGAAGGAGCATTTCCTGTTGCCTACTTCACAGCCCCAGGTACCTACGGATAAATATCTCAATGTAGACTGAATATTTTAACCTTTCTGTTAAAACATTTTATTTCTATTCAGCTTGACCACATTTTTTTTGCTGTTTCCTACCAACCTTTTTTGCCACTCTTCACAGGAACCTCAAGGAGCATCAACCATCATCTTCACCCATCTGAGATCAAGGAGGAGGATGTCAACCGCCGTTTTTCTCATCATGACACTGTGGACCTTACAAGATTTGAACTTGAGCAGCGGACAGAGGCGCTGGAGCAGCTGGAACAGATGAAGATCCTGGAGTGGGAAAACAGGATGAAGGTGCTTGCATGGGAGCAGGAGCTGGTGAGGGAGAAAAGGAAAGCAGCTCGGCAGAAGCAGAAGGCCTTCAGGATGAAAAAGGCCTACTACAAGGCCAAACTCAAGAGGTTAGGAGAAGACGTGCCACCATCCTCCTCTAGCAGTGGTGAAGAAGAAGAAAAGATATCTGAGCTTCATGGTTGATTTGATTCCATTTTTCTGGGAATGTTTCATTTCTGTGTTGTTTGTCTTTAACCTTGGGACATTTTTATAGATTTATACTATTTGAAGGTATAGAAGTAGCCTGACGTAGTCCGACTCAATTCTAGTCAGAATATGAGTCTGATACTGCTCCATAGAGCTGTGATTATGGGGCGTGTTTTGAACGAACCAGGAAAAAAAATGCCTCTGTACTCAATTGGATAGACCTACAACCAATAAGAGCAACGGAGTGCGTGACGTATCTTAAGCGAGGCATAGTTGTTGTCCACAAAAATCAAAGCGTGCAGTTTCACGCCTAGAATAAGAAGATGAGACTTGATCGCGTTTCTCTGTTCCTCTTTTAAAATTCATTTGCTGTCGATATCTTCTAGAACAGACCTAATAGCAGAATCTACTCACCCAAACTCTCCAGCGGCAGCCATTATTATTGTCACCCAAGCGCGCATTGGTCACGTGGTTGATAACGTTACTCTTGATCATCTGTCCATCATCGTATAAAGTCCGCCCTGACAATTTGATTGGATCGCCTGACAGTGGGCTTTAATACTCGCGCTACTATGGAGCAGAGCCAGACCGAACTTCCCCGAACTCAAACCTTGTGGGCGGGACTAAGTTCGGACTGGCACCCAGGCTAGTATAGAAGGCCCTGTAGTAAGATATTTGGATTATTTGAAATAACCTGAGAGCTTTAAGACTGAATTTTTTTTTCCCCATCAAAGACTAAAGGCCAGTTAGCTCCTAACTAGAAACATCCAGGTAATCACGCTTGGATATGCATAGTTTGGAAAACCAATAACTGACCAATCTTCCTTCCTTACTCCTTTGCCCTTTGTGCTTTTGCTTTCTTACACCTCAATTCCTCAGTTGGGTTATTCCTTTCCTTCTCCCCTTTTGACTGCCACCTTCTTTTTGTCCTTTCTTCCCTCCATCCTTGATCCCTTCATTCCCTTCAGGTTAAAATTTTTTGTCCAGATATATTTATCAGCTGTTCACAGAGAAATATCTGCCACAAAATCTCATTGAATGTTTAATATGTTGTATTTTAAAGAAGATAAAAGACTGAGTCTGGAAAAACCCATTTTTTTTTACAGGAGTAGCATGTATGGACCCTGATAATCTATTTATAACTGATGCTTGGATTAAAATGTACAGGTTTGTTTATACAGCAGCTGGTTCTGTGGCCTCCTCAGACCCACCCTGCTGAAATGAACAAATCTCAGTTTTCCAATCACTATTACAATATTCCAAACACTGCAAAAAAAAAAAGGAGTAAATTTTTCTTAAAATAAGTGTATTTTTTCTTGAATTGAACAGGTAAATGAGACACTTTGCCAATGGATATGAGAATATATATATGAGAAGAAAATAACAACTGCAGTCTTCTATTTCCAGTGCATCTTATCCTTTCATCTTATTCTCTTATTCTAAGGGTAATTATACTAATTCCTTTGGCACATTGTCTCATTTACCTACTTAAAATAAGAACAAATACACTTATTTTAAGAAATTTTTGCAATGTAGTGTATAAGGTACTGATATAAAAAAGATGTAAGAATTTTGCAAAAACATTAAACCAACACACACACGGACACACATATATATGTGTGTGTATTTTTAATCTATCAAGATTGACCGTTACAACTACAATGCTTTACCTACATTATTTTTTTACGTGATGAAATTGATGTTAATACATTTTATTGTTCTAAGGTAAAATGTTACTAACAGTTTATTTAACTGATATATTCAGTTTACTAAGAATTAGTTTCTCTAAATGCACAATTTCCCAATGTTCTCATGTGGAGCATGCTAATCTGTTAAGTTAGATTTTTGCTGTTAAAATTAACATATGTTGGTATAAGATGTAATTTTCATGAACAAAGGAATGCATAATAAATTTCCCTGCAGAGACTTGATCACTTTCTTTATGGGTCTGTGTTGCATTATTATTTACAGTCATACATTCGCCAACATCTGGCATTATTTACCCACATCAGTCACAGCAGAGTTACTGAGTTAAAGCTCTAATATTGGCTGTTTTCCTTTTATTTGTTTACTGATTTGAGGTCAGGAGTTTCATGTCTTTTTGATCTGGGCTTTAGGTTCTGCTATGAAGATTTGCCTTTATTGGACCTGATAGATCTCTGTCGGACTAAACATAAAAGATACAGGAGTTGACGAGAGGTGAATGTCACTCTTCCACACAGATGGTCTTAAAGCACTGTGAGGGTTATTGTTGCCTTTAACATTGTTGCAACATTATATATTTTCATAGAGAATATGTAGGACTGTATTTTGGAAGAAAAAAAGGACCACTGCCACAGCCTTTCCATCCCTTAAATAGAAGTTTTATATTCTAATTACTTTACCCCCTGTTGGGCTTTAGTTTGGACTTTGGGTTATTCTAATATGTACATAAATATTCTGTAATCCAGAATTCTTCACGGTAATTATCCTGCTTAAAGGTAAGCCTTTTTTTATATATATATCTTTAGCCTCTAACAGGTTCTCCCCTCATTGTCCTGTACTTGGCTCCATTTGTCTCCTGCATCAACTCTGACCAGCTTCCCTTCAGTCTGAAACAAACAGCATAATGCTGCCACCTCAAAGTTTTACAAAAATTCTCATATAAAGTAGGAGTTTCCTATTCTTTCCTGATGTGAAACCAATAATAAATAATCATTACACTCTATGTAAATATAGGTGAATAATAATGTATATTTAAATGAATCTATTTTTAATAGTTGGTATTTCATCATTCAATTTCAAGATATTAATGATCTCAAATGGACATTTAACCCTCTACCAGTACAGTTTGTAACTTAACTGTATGTTAATTTAATACATTCTACATTTAGTTCTATAGTGGTACCTTTATTTAATGATATGTATTAAGTTTGGCCCCATTTATCTTTGTAAAGATGTGTTATTATTCTCTGACAAACCTCTGACACCTTTATTAATTGGCTTGATTTATACTAAACCACACTTTAATCTTTAAGTAATTACCCAACTTCTGAGGGCAGCTCCTTACAATGGATCCTATACATTTATGATTAGAGTAGAGGGGCTTTTATTTAGTTCTTTCTTTAGCGATGAGCTAAACTATGAATTGTTTTCCATTTACTTTGTGAGAGTTTTTTTTTTTTTTTTTTTATCAAATGTAAAACAAGTCAAGCAGTATAACAATTTTTCTAAGTAGTATAACTGCCTTAAAAGTTTGAGAATCTGAGATTTGAATCTAGTCTTTTTAAGGGGTGGTGTTATTGTGTCAGAGAGCATCTGCATTGAGCTGGATGTATTAGGCTGGCAGCTAAGCGTGCCTCTGACTGTGACAGACCTCTTTGAGCGTCAAAACAAGTCAGAGGGAAGCACCTCCTTGAAAAGTAGGTGCCGCTCTGTCAGGATGTTCTCTCTGGTTGCAGCTTCACTCCTTAACATGTTCTCATGAATATGAAACGGCAGCGCTCTCTCTGTCACACAGGCAAAATATAAACACACACAGAGCCTGTTAGGAATAAGCTGTTTTTTTTTAATGTCCAACATTTCTCTTGTTTCTGTAAAAACAGGGGAACAGCAGCTTCCATCCCAAAGGAGGGACAGAAGGCATCTCATAATGAACAAACAAGCCAACAAATACAATCTCTCATCGCCACGCCACCCTTTTCTGCCTTTCTTTCCATCTTGTTCTCCTTTTCTGAAACACATGACAACATTTTAGACTCAAATCTGTCCTCTCTGGCTTTATAAGGCTCCATTTTTACTTATGTGTATATGGGATGTAAAAGCAGACAAATTACCTATTTTTTTCAGCTTTAATATGAGGCATAGCTGCTATAATAAATGCCAATTTTATCATAAGTGTGCGATTTGAAGAGGATAAATGAACTATTATATGCAGTCTGTTGGGGTTGGCAGATTCTTTCAATTCTGTTCTTCTTTCTACCTTGTATCAGATTTGAATTTGCTGTTGTTCGTTTAGACTTTTTAAAAACACATTTCTGTGTGTTTTTTAGCTCAGGCATCATAATTAACAACAAATAATAGTTACATGGGAGAAAAACAAACATTAGGATAGAAAAGAAAGAAGAATCATGAACACATTCATGATTACAAAGAAACTTTCATTAAAAAAGATGGCAAAATAAATATTTAATAATATGTATATAAATTATAATTAAATAAAATCTCAAGTGAGTATAATCTATGTAAACATAAAACAGATAGGGGGAAATCCTTATCTGCTCCTTACTGACAGATGGCATTCCACCTACAGGAACATTTTTGGCAATAATACTGTCAGGAACGGGGTTTTTTTACTTTGTGGGGAGATGGGGCTGGCATAGCTGCAGACAGAGCAGGGAGATATGTGCTTGCTTGTAATGCTTCAGTATTTCCACTCTCTTTGTTTCTCTCCTGTTTTCTGCATTTCTGTCTGCATGATGAGTGTTTGTCCAAGCCTTCCTTCCTGCTGCTACGCATTTTACAACAGTCATAGTTTCTGACCCAATTTATCCTCCCACTTAATATGTCTAGATTTGCAATTTTGCTGCCGTACATGTATGCTCTGTTGGACTTTAAGCCCACTTGTTTGTTTTTTTTCCAATCAAAAAAAAATCAGGCAAAAGGCCCAAAAATTAAGAAAACTTTCCGGAAAAAAAAAAAAAAAAACATATTTTCATTCATCGCTCTAAATGGGTGTTTGTCTAAAGAGATAGTTCAGAAATGAAAGGTTCTTAGGCTCATTATAATTTTGTATAAACTTAGATAAGCTGGCTCTGGAGGCTGCAGCTCACAGTTATGAAGAGGCGGATCAAGATCAAAGGGAACCTTTGCTGTTTTAAATTCATTTAATTTAAATTATGTCAAAGCTGTGAATGCTGACCCTACTTTCTTATTATCTATAATATATCAGTTAAAGGTTTTCAAGTTTTACAAAAAAAAAATGAACCAATTTCAAATGTTTTTCTTTCACAATTTCTACCCTGCTTTGTTTTACTCTGTTCCTAATGTGACAGAAACAATTCATATCTTCTATTCTCTGCATGTTTCACAAAATCATTGGTGGCGCACCACCATCCAACTTCATTTCCTGTGAAAACATTCAGCAGTCGCTGTGTAAGTATCCACCAAATACAAAACATGACTGCAGAGTAGGGATTTATTAATTAATATTGATTGTTAATTTGAGCCTTCAGGTCCAAATCACCTGGATTTATACTAACTTATATACTGCTCCTACCTTTTAATACATCCTCGCCATGTAAAATCCTGAACTATCTCTTTAAAACGAGACAGCCTCTGCTTAAAAAAACAGATTCAAATACCTACATCGAAAAAAAAACAAAAAACAAAAACAAAAAAAAAAAACAGATGCTTTTAGTGCTGACATCTCATCTTCCCTTCGTCAACTAATACATGGCAGTGAAGCTTAGCTGAACTCAGAGAACACCTCATCTCTATTAGTTCTCTAAACGGTTGGAAAATCTGTCTGAAAGTGTCTTAGAAGGAATCACTTAGGTTCAGATTTGAAATAAAAAGTGCCTCATATCTGGAATATTTCCTTTCGACTGAGTCTGGTAGTAAAAGATGCTGATATATTCAGGTAGACGCCTGCACTGCATACAGGATTCACATCTCCCTTCATGTCGTCAATAAATATTTGAGCAAACTGGGATTCAACAGCATTGTTCTTGTTATTTTTTTTCTTCTTCTGCCATTCTGAATCAAAATCAGTTTGAAGGGTATACAGCGAGATAAAATGCCAACCACAGCTGTTTATATTGTGTAGAACTAAGGCCTCAGTAACAAAAAAAATATTTCATTTGGTTTATATTTGTGACTAAATATATGAAAGAAATCATAGCTGTAAAAAAAAAAAAGGGAATTACTTTTACAGCCATGACACCCAGTGGAAGGCATTTTCAAGGGTAAAACAATGTTTTGAACTGATTTATGTCCCTTTGGCTTAGATTTGCACCAGAGCCTTCTGCATGAGAAGCACTTACAAAGAGTTTCCTGGTTGCTGCTGGAAAGATTCAGCTGCTCCTGTGGTGGCGCTTCAGGCAAGTTGAGTCATGATGCATCAAAGTGTAAAGAACCCTTGAGGGGAGGCGTTCTTAAAATTGGTTGATACTGGATCCCACCTCATGGAGAGAGGAAGACATCGAGATCAACCATCACCCAGCAGGTGTTTACAGCTCTGATATGTTCCTGTTACATCAGCAGACTGATAGGGTCTGGTACAGACAGCACCAGTTGGAACACAAGGTCACGATTACATACATCAGATCACAAAATAGCACAATCTTCCCATTACAGCAGCTTTAATAGTTTAAAACCAGGTTTGAATCTAATGTGTTGTTAGCAAGCTTTCTTTGCACATTCATCTTGCTCCATCAACTCTCTTCTCCTATATTTAATTCTTCCCTGTCTACAATCACTTCACGATACTTTGATATTATCCTTTCAACCACATCTTTCAATAATCTCATCAGATGCTCTATTGCCGGATGCCGTCTCGCTTTACATGAAGTTCAAAGGACTGAGGAAAACATTCTCAGGAAAATGTATTTCTGGGGAGATGTTGGAGAATTTTTTTTTCTTTTTTACTTCATAGAGGAAATATCTCTCCTCAGCAACACAACAGCACTCACTTCAACCTCATTCACAACCTCACACGGACGTGACAGCGTTAAAAAAAAGAAACATCACAAGATAATTTTTTTACCTTCAATGAAAAAGATAAAAAATGTATAAAAAGGCTATGTACAGAAACTTCTTTCTTCTTTTTTAAAAGGTCTTATCGCATCATGTGAGTTTAACATCTGAAAATTTTTTTCCCCCTTTTTGTCTGACTGTTAGGTAGTTAAATCAGATAGTTTTTTCGTTGTCCATAAATCCATAGACTGAGAGCAGTGGGACTTGAAAACTTGATTTACACAAAACATCCCGCTCACAAACGTCCTCTTTTGTCAAAGTCCGTTTAGTTTGACCCTTTTCTTGGTTGATCTTCATGTTTTTGGCTCCGATAAGTCAATTTGTTTTCTACTTTCCAGGTTGCCCCTTCAGTTCAGGTCCATCCTTGACCTTTGATTTTGTCCCCACACTGTTGCTTTAGATAGATGCATTAACAGATGTGGAGGCTGTCATCAAGACTGCCCCTCACTCCTGTGGGCTCTGTGGTAAAGGAAAAAGAATATGGACATCAGTAACTTTTTATAACAGTGTCTCCAATTTAAGCTAATTACAATAAATCATGTTTTAAATGTACAAAGCTGTTTTGGTTTTGACTGTGTGCAATTCTTGTGTTATGAATGTCGTGCAAGGTATAGCAGTGAGGGAAATTTTAGTTTAAAAAAAATCAAACAAATAGCTACAGAGACAAGGGTGTTTTCCTTCCAATAGTTTGTTTACTTTGAGAGACTTATAACTTTTTTCAAAGCTCCAATTGAACATAAACCCATTATTAAAGACCACATGGGATTTTTTTGTTAGTTTTTTTGGTCAAAAGTGTCTAAGATGGAAGTATCAAATGTCAAGTGAAGATGCAGTGTTTTGAGCTGCTTCGGAACAAAGGGAATTTAACTATATCCCTGGTTTATAGGAATGATTTAAGGCAAATATAAGAAATGAGAAATATACCAAATTAATTTGAGGTCATTTTAAAGTTCCTGAAATGCAACACAAACCTGGCCATGGATACAAACTTGGTTTCATGCATCTGATAGCTGTATCAGATCACATTCACACCATAAATTATCCACTCTGGAATTTGTTTGGGAGAAATAATGGGATCTCCTCATGCGGTCATGGTGCGGTTTACTTTTGTCTGGACCTTGGTGCTAATGCTGGGTTTACAACCACACCGAGAAACAGAACCAATTTAGGAAACAAACCAGTATTTTCTAAATGGACTAAACACCTCTGGTGGTGAAACCCCCATAAAGTCATGCTAATAGTTACACATTAAGCCAGTGGTTCCCAAACTTTTCTTGGTGACCCTCCATGTGATTTAAAAAAAAGTTTTTGCATCATTTAGCTGTAATAAATTTTATTAAAATGTTCTGTTTTTGTGTGTAATTGAATTCCTCATTGCAATAAATATATATTCTTCAAATTACTTCTCAAAATTGGTCATCTATCCATTTAATTAGAGCAATGCCTCCCCTGCAATCACACCAACCCCCCATTGGGGGCGCGTCCCTAAAATGAGGAATCACTACATTAAGCTAACAGGTACTTAGAATCGGAGAGAGAATCATAAAAATCTTTATAGCCGAGTTGGTTTTTACAAGTTTGAGGAATTTGCTTTAGTGCATGCCAACATCCATTTATGTTCTTTTGCTTGTCTCAAGGTAGAAGTTTGAATCTGGGACTGACATCCCAGCTGAGTTGAGAATATTTTGTTTGCAAGTTGGAAAACTGAGGAATTAGTTTTGGTGCCAATCATTATTGGTAATGCAAGACATTGGGTTAATAAGCTATAAAGCATCTAAGCTGTTTAATTTTGTAGTTGTTATTGAAGACTTTCTGTAAATTCTTTGTGCGTGCAGCTATATTAGGTTCCCAGGTTGGCTTAGCGAGTTCTGAGGAGTTCTGGGAATTCTATCTTCACATTTTTTTTTCTAACAACAAACTTGGAAAATCCGACTACTTAGTATAAGGAAAACACCCTATAAGACTTGAACTAATATTTTGTCTAATTCAAGCAAACAGCCACTTAGAGAACATAAAAGCTTTTAATAGTTGAGATAAAGATTATTAACTAAAATTTTTTTTGGATACTTAAGGAAAAATTAACTCGGATAGACCTGTGTTTGTGTTATCTGAGGATGAAGCACAGCAACCAACTTACTCTGAGTCGGGGGAAACTTCCGATATGCTGTGAGAAGTGGTAGACTGGGGTGGGGAAGGCGAGGGTCCATGGACAGAGCCATTAGGACCAGGGTTAGAGGCAGCAGGAGGAGTCAGGACAGAGGAATTAAAAGATGCCAGGATGGAGGACAATATGTCCAGCTGTTCACTGGATGGCTGTCGAACCAGGGGGTTTGGATTTGGGCCTGCAAGTTGGGGGACAGTCTGACCTGGGTACCTACATGAAGGTGCGGAGTCCAGGCGTCCTCTGACATGAGATGGAGGAGGTAGCTGTTCTTGTTGTGGCTCCTCTGAGATCGGGGGAGGAGGAGAAGCAGATAGAGGCTGGTCGGGGTGTGAGGGCTGCCTTGGTGGTAGACTGCGAAGCCACTCCCGACACGGCTGAGCCTGAGCTCCCACCCCGTTAGCCTCCAATTGCTCTCTGGACCTACTGATCACGAGTGGCCCTCCGAGGTGCTCTCGTGACGAGGCTTGTCGGCGAGATAAAGAGTTCAACTGGGACCTGGACCCACTTAGGTATCCTTCCACTCCAGCTCCCACAGCTCCTCCATTTCCACTCAAATCCTCCCTTGAAGCATGGAAGCTGGTCCCATGATGGTTATCCAGTCTGTCCCTGGATCCTGACAAGTTTTCCCTAGATGATGAGACTCGTTGGTGATCCAAGCCTACGAGCCCTGCTCCGAGTCCTAAGCCTAGTTCTCTCCTCCTGGGTAGGAGATCTAGGTTATCCCTGGAACCCCGGGAGTCCAGACGCTCCCTTGAACCCCCCACGGTCTGCCTTCCAAGGGGATCCCGGGACAGTTGCCTCCTGGCAAGAGAGTCCAGGTGCTCCCTCGAGGAGTACCTTGAGGCTGGCTGGGAGAGAGAACCGGAACCTCCGGTTGCACCAGCTGTGGCAGAGTACATACGGCCATAGGAAGCCGCTGGAACACCTCGGTGACCGAGCGTCGAGGTCCGGTACCAGTTGAGCTCACTAGGCACCCTGCCCATGGTGGAAAGACCCTGAAGTGCTGGTTGACAACCAAGGCGGTTCTTCAGGATACCTGCCAAGAGAAAATGAGAAAACTGAGAATGAACAATAAAGCCTAGGGTGGAAAAAAAGGAGGAATGGGTGGCAGATTTATATGTAAAAAAAAAAAGGAAACAGAATAGGGGTAGGTTAAAATTATTTTAAAAAAGCAGACAGAACTGATGCTTTTAACATTTTAGGTTTGCCCTAAGTCACAGTTAGAGCGGCATGAATCATACTGGAATACCACATCAGTTTTAGATGTAAAAAATGAACATCCTGGGGCAGACATGTAAATGAGTCATTGCTGTGCAAAGAATAAATCTTCCAATGCTCATGCTTTTGAAAATCAGACATCTTATGACAGCGGAAGTTTTCAGTTGATGTCTGAAGACATTTTGTGGGAGAATACAAGGAAAATGTTAATATATTAAATATATTAATGTATGAAAATCAAGAAAGACGCAGGCTTCTAATAGTATTCTCGCAGCGATGCAAATCAGAAGCAGAAGAATCCTCAAAATGCCCTTTCATCTGATTAAAGAATTGGATGAGAGAAGAAGAGTAGAAAAAAAGTGGTTTTAAATTCTCTCTCACCCTTTCGATGTCTGTGTGGCTGGGTAAGGCCATTCTCATCCCCACTGGTGAGTGCTGCATCCAGCTGGTTGTTGTTGGCGGCGTCCTTGTTGTAATCCCCTCCAAGGGGGCGCTCTGAGCCCCACTTCTGCAAGGTGTCACATTCATCCAGAGCAGGCCAGTAGGACAGAAGATCATTGCCATCCAAATCTATAGAATGCAAACAGAAGACACTTGTTTTAGGTTATAAATATATTTACCAGGGATAAATAATTTTTCCTTTACCATTTACAAAAACAGAAGAACTGGAACATGGATCATTGCAATTATACAAAACATTTTCTCTTGCTTAGTATTGATCAACTGGGCTGTTGGAACAAATCTGTGGATTTGAAAACATATCAATTATACATTTGACTCTTTTGTCTGTAGTTGTAATCCCTGTAAGGCTCTGCTCATAAAATAAAGCTAAAACATTGAATTTGATTGGATGCAAGAGATCTGCCTAGCCTTGGATATTCTCCCCATCATTGTCTAATTCTGCTTTTTCAGCTGACAGGTTCTGACATATTATGGTCCTTTAGGGGTTAAGCTTTGTCATTGTCAGTAGAGACTCTTTAGATTGTGACCTTTCAGTAAAAGAGCAACTGACATTAAAAACAGCTGTCTCTCTGCTGCTCTCCCATTTGATCGCAGTGATATATTGATTAGACTCTGCTAGCCATCTGTTCCTTGCCCTCTGCTGTTCAACAGACAACTGTGTTCTTCTGTTAACTTGAACAAAGTTCAACTGATTCAAACTGCTTATCAGGCTAAAAAAGGAACTTATATAGATTTATCGATTGGACGATATTTGGCCTTTGATAAAAACAGTTTGACATTCATGTAATTGTTTTCGAGCGCATATAAAAGGGTATAAGGTATTGAGTTTCAGAAAGAGGAAGGTACTCAATATATACAAAAGACATCGACAATTTTCCTGTTTTAGATGTTTAATGTTGTGCAATAATGGGCGTGTTTCAGGCGATTAACAATGATTGGGTTCACAATGGATATGATCTGCAAACTGGTTTGATATTGCCCTTTAAATAAGGAGATTACATGTCCTAGTGGCATGCAACTTTGGGAGTGGTGGTAAAAGAAAGATGAAGTTCTGCCATGGAGTTGGAGGTAATCAATATAATTATAAAAAAAAAATTAATAATAATATTGATGATAATAATATTGAGGAATGTTATTTTTTAGTACACTAACCTATCTCAAAATGATACAAACCAAAGTAAAAAATTAATAAGATCAAAGAACAAAAGTTTAATTTAAAAGATTTAATATCGAGAGTTAGAAAAGACCATGTAGGCAACTCCTTCCCAATTCTAACCACACTTATGGCAAATTGAGCTTTAATTCCACACTACACCTACTCAAAAATAAACCAAACCAAGACAGGTCTATAATAGTTTAATAAAACATGTCTGTGTTTCATATGGATTATTTCAAGGAAAACTGAGGAAGGAAACTAAATTCCCTCTTACCACAAGAGGGATGCGCACTATAGGAGGGTGCATCTATTGGTTGATTTTTGCTCTCAGGTGGCTGTAAATGTTTTCTTATAAACATATGTGGTGTGATGCATGTATAATTACCGCCCTCTAAATAAATTTGTCCTGCACAGAAACCTTGTTCTCTTTTATTCTATTCTTACATATTCCCATTTCTGAAAGACCAAATATATTTTCATGTCCACAGTCTCTTACTCCATCACTTGTCATTGTATATCTTTCCCTCAGTATTATGTCTATTGTTTGGTCATTAGAATAAGGTGTGCATATTTTCGAAGGCACACATGCAAAAAGGTCTGTTGATACTGTTCAACACATAAAAAAAAAATGAATTGCACCTGCTTCGAAGTTCAGCATTGCTCATTTTAACAAGTGTGTATGTGTTTTAAAAATGCAAAACTTTTAGAGTACAGGTCCATTGTGTTTACCATGTAAGTCAAATATTTAAGTTTTTTGTATCTTATCAGAGCATCTTCTTCAACAGGTTGTTGTGTCTACATCTAGGTTTATGACAAACATGAATTTTTTAGCTTTCTTTGGACAATGGCTTACCTTTAAACTCTCTTCTACAAATCACTACATAAACATCAATATTCTGTTCATGTTTATGCATTTAGCAGATGCTAATTAATATTCTATTGATAGAATCTACCATGTGAGCGAAGTAGATATGCAACTCCTCCAGAAATATCATTGCATGTTTTTTTAGAACTTGTCTGATAAAGCTGACTATTTCCATGCCTTTTAGTCTAAGTAGTTGTATTTCTATTGTTAATTTTGCATCAGTGCTTTACTCTTAATTTTCTTATCATGCAATGTTGCTGAATGCTTTTTGTTTAATAATATTCTCTAACAAACCTTCAAAGCCTTCAGTATCATTGCAGAACAGCTGCTTTCATACTGAGATTCAATGAAACACAAACAGATTCTGTTCTGTTTCACAAAGAGGAGTCCTTCATAAAATGAATAACATTATGGAAAACCCACAGCATTCTCTTCATCAGACTGCCAACAGAGTGATTTCAGTCAGAAGCTTGAAGATTTGCTGTAACACAGTTGACTAGTAGCAAGAGTAATGGTAAATGTCCCAGGGGATCGATGCTTTGTACTCTTATTTTTATCAAACAGCAAGCAGTAAGAATGATTGATCTTTTTAAGCACTTTTCTAAACATTATTATATATTTATATTTTTCATTAATTGGGTTTTCAGAATTAATTTCAGAAATGAAATCAGTAAAGTCTCTTGTCTACCTTTGGTGCCATTGTTGGTGGGTTCAGTGAGGAGACGCTCGCTATGATTGGAGCGTTTGAATCGCCTCTGGATGCGCCCCCGCAGACGGACATTGTCGTCACTCTCAGAGGAAGGGATGGAGAGACTTCGCTCTTCATCCATGGAAAGATCTGAGTCTGAATCAGAATCACCACCTGAATGTGACCAGATGGAAAATAGGAGAGCAAGAAATTTAAGACACAAAGACATTTCTCATCCATGGATGCAATGAAGGTGATCAACTCTAATAAAATCTCAGATATGAGACTGTGATGATAAAGATGGGAATATGGAAAAGATAATTTTTTTAGAGATAATTTGGAATTTTTTTTATTAAACATGGGTTGGTGCAAAACATACAAAACATTGATGCTAAATTGTAGTCCTGCATGTTTCCTGCATCACAGCATGTGACTGGAATGAACAGCCTATTAGCAGGTCTGTACAGAACTTGATCCCATGCTGAGGAGGCAGTTTACCCACTGAATCAAGTTTATTGGAGCAACATCACATCTTCATCATGCAAGACACTTCCTTAAGGACTGGAATTGTGCACCACTAATTAGTTAGTGTGTGTCTGCAACCCTGACCTCCATCTCTGTGGAACATGGCTACATCCAGGTCGGTCGCTCCTGTGTGGACGATGTTTTGCTCTAGATTCTGACGTGCCAATAGATTTTCTCTGAGAGAGAGGAGAAATGAGAACAGATAAGAACAAACACAACACACAGCAGACCCCAACACATCACAGGGATCCACACACTCATAGTTGCTTGCTATGCTCTATACAAACTCAGTGAGACAATCATTGAGCTCTTAAGACATCAACTGCCATTTTAAGGATACATTAGTGTCGCTCCACATGTAGTACAGTACATTGTTAAATCCAATCTTCTTCATCTTTACCCCACTGACCCAAAAAATGCACACAGTGGGGATTTTATTAGGAAATTTCCTCTCGGAGGCAGCCTAACAGCAGCAGAGACTTAATGAATGCTGATGCCCTCATATTTAAAATGATGATCTCTCTGTCATTCAGACCCAGTTTTAGTTTACTCTGTTTATATTTTGGTTGTCAAAGCTTAAAGTGCTAAAGAATAAAATTTAATGCATTAGAACACAGAATAAATACATTTGCTGTCAGACCTGTTAAAGATGCAAAAATAGCCCTGAAGTAAATCTTTTTTTCTTTTTGGCGGCAGTAACATGATTTCCTAAAGAACAATTTTGAATATTTTAACCCCTAGTAACATTTAGTCAATGAATTAAATAGCCATGTAATACATGGACACATGCTAAACCTTAAAACACAACTTTTTTATGGAAAAGCAAATAACTTAGAAACTGTAAGCCCAAATTACATGTGCAATACATTATTTGAGAAAAAAAGTCTAAACACACATTTTATTTACAATGTTGATATAGAAAGTTTGCAGTCACATCATAGGACGGACTTTTCTATAACTTTTAGCGTGAGATTAGCTAGAGCAATAAAAATAACGAAATGATAAATTGTGCATCAAACTTTTTCCAACGTTTATGTATTCTAAAGTACCATTGGTGTCTAATATGCTGGCGACAATGTGTGAATATTGCTGTTAGAGGAATACCTCGCCGAGCTGACGGAGGAGATGGTGGAGGTTCCCAAGGTGATGCGGTGCAGCCCACTCTGCTCCAACAGGGATGCATTATGGTAGGGATTCTGGGCCTGAAGACACAATACAACAAAACATACAGGAGGAATTTCAACCAGAGGACCTCAAGATTTTTAACCCAACCGGGGTAAAATCGTAGTATTCTGGCCTTATATTAAGGTAAAGATGACTATAAACTAGCGATGTAAACAGATCTCTTGAAACATCAGTAGTTTCTTGTCAAACTCTAGTATCTCACAAACACTTCTTTTATCGGCATCATGTTATGGATGAAATACGTAGGCTGTTATTTTCAATGAGAGATATAAAAGTGCATGCAGTGGTTTTTAAGATGTGATGTGTTGACATCAACACAAGCATTTTTAAAAGTCTTTGTGATTTTTCCGCTCCTCTTCAGTGCTTCTTTTAAAGCGTTTTTTTGTGAAACAAAGGAAAAAATGCAGTAGGTGAGCTTGTTATTAAACTATTTCCACCCACAGTCTGGATCTGGCTAACCTCACTACAAGTAGCATCACTTAAATATAGAAATGATTTGATCCTCTCTACTTCAAAATCCAACATATTTAGTGTGATTAGATATTGAATTGGAAACTTAATATATGAAATTTAACTCAGAAAGAAGAGCGTCAGTGCTTTTGTCATTAGGATCATCTTAAATGAATCATATTTCCCCAAATATTGTTAAACATGTTGCATCTTGTAGGAATAAACATATATTTGTATGTTTATAGACAGCCAAGAAATAAAGCTTTTTAAATTTTAAAGCAAAACAGATATTTTAATTAACTTTGTCAAACCTAGTTAGTCATAAAAAATAAAATGCCCAAACTATAAAAGTGGAGCAAAGCCCCAGATAGAGAGGCAGCCCTCTCTATTCTGCGCATTATAGAGAATTATATTCATAAATAACATGCAGTAGGACATGAGTCAGGAAGGAGAAAAGCATGCTAATAAGCAGCTGTATATGTTGCCCGTCAAAGTATTCTTCTAATAATAGTTCCAGGCTTCTTCCCCAGATGACTCAGTGATGGAGAGAAAGAGTGCAGCGGAGAATAAAACACACAAACAATTGCTCATCCAAGCACAACCCGCAACACAAATATCTCACGAATGCATTCATGCCTCTCTTGGGGCTCTGTACATATTGTATTCAAATTGTATACTGGGCATACAATGTGCATTCATATAACTTTTTATAACTCACCCACACACTCAGAACGGAGAGTAAAAATAAGAGTACTTAACCAAGAAAAGTAGTGGCTAATGTGCGTTCGGCTGAACTAATAAACACATGAGGCAGAAGAAAGAGTAAAGAGGTGAAAGTAGGATAGGATTTTACCAACATGCACAAACACACACAAAGTCACGAAATAAGTAGCACACAGTGCCTTCGCTGAAGAGGCTAAAGAACAGGCAGAGATCCAGGGGCTGGTGTATTGTTTAATGTGGGTCAGCAGCAAACCCTGAGGGCAGCTGAAGAGGAGCAAACGCAGGACAAGGAAGATTGATGGTTGGACTGAGGGAAGTAGAAATGGAGGGCAGGAGGGTTTTTGTGCTGTCAAGTAATGGACACAGCGGAAATGTGCGTCTTATGGAGAATGCATGGGGATAAAACACAGTAAAAGGATCATGCAGGGAGATGGTTTATGGCTTCACAACAGGACTTTAGATTCCCTCTGTGAGTCATTACAGCGCTAATGGCAATCCTGTTGGCATATCAAAGATCATTGAAATCTTTCTGATAATGTTTCCTTTTTATTTCCTGACTAATGTACTGACAACATAAAAAACACATTAAAATGACTCTAAAAGAGTTGATATATATAAAATCCATATAAGATTAAGGAAAAACTTACAGTGTTCTGTTGTGTTCTCGGTGGGTCTTCTCCAGGGCTCTTCTTACCTAAACAGGCAACTCTCCAGGCCTCCTGAACTTCGGAGTTCAACACAGTGAAAACCAGCATCACCGAGAGGCCCTGAAACAGAGAAACAGATCAGGAGACCTAAAGGAAAATAACAATATAGTCTGAGATAAAAGTTTTATAAGAGGTAGAGATTAAGAATCCATATGATGCACTTTGTTTTTACCTGCAGTAGGCAGAGAACATCAAATATGTAGTAGAAGGCGAGGATGCTGTTATTTACAGCCATCAGACCGCACAGCCAGGTGGAGGTGGCAACCAGCAATAGCAAAAAGGCGTTTCGGATAGTAGCACTAAAACAGAAAAAATAAAATAAAAAAATAAAGAAGAAAGAAACAAATAAATAAAGAAATGTATGCACTCCTAAGAATATTACTACTTAACGTTTATATAAAGCAGGGGTGTTGTTAGTGATAATGAATGTAAAAAGACTAGTATCCTCATATAAAGTCCACTTTCTGTCAGAGGTTTCTTTCTATCAGTAGGTTTGGTTCCTGCCCACTGTCACATTGTGCTTGCTTTAGGTGGGTGATAACTTCTAAATCAACATAAAATCTATGAAAATACTTTTGAAAAACAAGTTTTAGAGACAGTACAATTACATTTGTAATGTGAAAAAGAGAGTAGAGAAGGCGACTTACATGACAGAAAGTTTCTTAGTCTCCTTCTGAGATGGGTTACAGGACATCTTGGCTACAATGGTGAAAATCCCTCCATTCATCTGGATCAGAAGAGATCAATAATCACAGTAAGGCAACAAACTGGATGCATTTTAGCAAATCCAATTCTGCTTCTGGGAACATCTGGGATCAGGGTAAACAAATGACAAAAATCAATATGAATGAAATGGTTGCCCTTGGCAACCATTTTGGCTTCAGATAAATGTATCCACACCTCATAGGACAATAATAACCAGTGCATCGCATACCAATTAAATTATCAAATATACGTTAAAACAGATTTAAAAGATCCATTTAAAGGTCGAAGATAAAGTGAATCCAGTTTGTAGCAGAAACTAGCCATGTTTAACTAGCTTGACCTTTTTACCTTCAAAGTGAAGCTTTCTTCATGATTTAGAGTTTTGTTATTTTAAAGAGGAAGCCAAAGAAATATAATGACAGTTAGGACTTCACTGTGTACCAAACAATGATCATTGTCTCAATCTACTTCACTGCTTTGTCAATATTCTCTTTAGCTTTGAGTGCTCCTGTAATTAAGTGCAGTATATTAGATGTTCAGGGAGACAATTACCAGTAAAACAATAGCAACAGGACCAGCAAAGCTCCAGATGAGTTTGTCATACATGGAGATCCAACAGAAATCTGGGTTTCCGTAACCTTCCGGATCCAATCCGACAGCCAGGCCTGCAAAAAAAGACACAGATAGATAAGACACTCCAGCCACCTCTGTTATTTCTACTTTTGCCACAAAGATCCAGATAAAGCACTGAGACATGCAATGCCTTACAGATGTATTGACTGCACCGCTTGATTTACAACCACAAACTTCAAATTAAAGAGGATGGTTCAAGGGTTTTAGCATTTTAAGAAAAAAAATCTGATAAGACTGGAATTCCATCATTGAAAAATTGGCAAACATATTGGCATATCTACCAAGACATGGTCATCCACCTTAACTGTCAGGGCAGCATAAAAAAGCATTAATCAAAGAAATAGCTACAAAACTCATGGTGACTCTGGACTAGCTGCAATTGTCTGCCACTCAGGTAGGAAAATAATTTGACAGGAAAAATATTAGGCCTACACTTTATTTGGTTGTTGTGCAAAAACAGAGTAAGAGCCACAAAAATGGCAGTAGCCTGTAGAGAGAGATGCTGCTTAAGAAGAGTATGAAAATGTATGCTGGGAATCAGGGAATCGTTAGCTTTGGTACCGCATACTCTATGTGTCTTCTAGATGCCAGTAAGAGATGCAGTGTTCAATAGAGAACAGGAGTTCCTCTACATTTGACATAAGATCCCTCCAGATCAGCAACAGATCTGGGCTTTTCAATATAAGACTGGTTGATATAAAAGCCTTCCTTTGTTAGGCTTGTTGCTAGGTCTTTCAGGGTGATCCACTTCCTGGGGCATTCTTACATCAGCGGTCTAAAGGTGACTGACCCCGATCTTACACAACATAAATTTAGGCATTATGCCGTGGAGAGGGAAGCTGAGAGAAAGATATTTGTAGCTGAATACTGGAGAATAGACTTCATCCTTAAACTTACAGTCTGAGATGCAACAGGACAGTTTAGCTCAAATCAAACTGTTAAAATGGTTCACTCAAAGTCTAGTCCAAGATCCAGTTGAACATCTGTGCCCTTACTTAAAAAAATGCAGTTTGCTTTTACATTCTCTTCATCCAGTCTGACTAAGATTAAGCTATTTTGCAGAAGGGGGAGTGTTGGCCTAGTGGTTAGAGCAGTGCGTTTGTGCTCTGAGAAGGTTGCAAGTAGCCAGTTCGATCCCAACAGCCTACACTCTGGGTCTCTGAGCGAGACCCATAACCCCACACTGCTCCCCGGCTGCCAGAAAATGGCAGCCCAATGCTTCCAAAGGGGGATAGGTTAAATGCAGAGGTACATGGTAATCAATAATGTTCAATTATTAATAGTATTAGAAGAATGACAAAAATAACTGTCAACAACATCGAGCGATGCATCAAATGGAGACAATAGTAGAGATATGCTTCAATATACACTACTACATGTAACACAAAATCAGTATACATATATATATATATATATATATATATATATATATATATATATATACAAAAAACATTCAACAATTTATGTTATTAGTGATACATTTCTCTTCATAAACAAAATCCAGAATGACTCAACGTTCAGGAATGTGTCCACTAGAGGGCAGCAAATGACCATTTACTGGACTGACAAGGCAGCAACTTTACTTACCCACTAATGGTTCTCAAAATTATTATAATTAGTACTACCGCAGATTGACTATCAATAAATTCAGAAATAAGTTAATTTAATCCTAAGGCACTGCAGTTATTGAAAGATGAGGTGGAATAATGTGTTCAGTTTCAGGAATTCTCAGAATGTTTATGTTTTAATTTGTGAGTGTTAACATTTTATAGGGCACTCATTGAAAGACTTTAAATATCCAAATTAAGTCATTTTCCCTTAAAATTCGTGCATTGTTTCTTGAACTGAGCAGGTAAGTGAGACACTTTGCAAATGGAATAAGAATATTTACATTTAA